TGGTTGCACAACAGAGTGGTAGGTGTTGTTTATTCACCATTCAACCAGTTTGGTCACATTTGCTCCTCTCTGACAGGCTGGACACCATTTTCTTTCTCAGCCGTTAAGAAGGCTTCCTCTATCTCTGCCCTTCTGGCCCCAAAACTAAAACAGGTGCTGTTAGTCATAAAATTAGAAGATGATGAAAAAGTTGAATATATTTCAGTAATTCCATTCAAAAAGTCCGACTTTTATATTATATTCATTCATTACACACATACTGATACATTTCGAATGTTTTCCTATTTCTTTTGATGATTATAACTGACAACTAATAAAAACCCCAAATCCAGTATCTCAGAAAATTTGAATATTGTGAAAGTTTCAACACTGAAGACACCTGGTGCCACACTCTGATCAGCTAATTAACTSAAAACACCTGCAAACGTCTTTAAATCAGGGTTCCTGCAGATSGAATATCATGATGTTTCTAACTGTATATTACCCTGACATGTCCTGTTCTGTATCTCTTTGTTATATAATCTGTTTCWCATGCTTCCATGATGTCTGTAAACTCACTCTTATTCTGAAGTTTCAGTTGTCGGTTTGTCATTGGTTCTCTGTTAACCTTTGTCATCCTGTGATTGGCTGCCACGAACTACACCGGATGTTTATATATTGTCTATTTCCTGTTTCCGGGTCAGTGTGAGCTAAACAGATGCTTTGATCACGTCTGTTTAGCTCCGTTCAATCTTTGTGCATCTCTCTATTAAATAATCTGAGACTGAGACCACACAGTTTCTCTTTATTTCCCACATCTCTGCCCTGGTGGGATATTTCCACAACAGTCTTAAAAAGTCTTGAATTCAATCCAAAAATAAGGCCTTAATTAGCCTTAAAATGTCTTAAATCAATCTTTCAGAGGTCTAAAAAATGTTAACACATTGTAAATAGGATGACTGTAATTCATCTCAAACATAACATTGATTTATTTAAATATTCACATGAAGATATTCCTCTTTGACATCACTTCCTGTTACTTCACATGCAAATATCTCAACAACTGTCCATCTGAGCAATGTGAAATTAGTTTTGTAATATGTTAATAATGTTGTCTTTCCAAAAATGCATTCACTTTTCTTACAAAAAATTTATGTCACAGGCACTTTAAGGTTTCATCTACAACAAATTGGGGTTAAGACCCCACCGTGGGTCCTAAACTCCAAATTTTGGGTCGTTAAACTGACTGCTAAGAATATTTTTGCTATATTTGATTAAAAAGCAGTTAGATATGGATAAAAACAATTGATATATAAGCAATATTTGAATACTTAAACCAAAAATACTTTGATTCATGAGTTTCAGCAACAGTTTTTTTTTTCATTTGTGTTCATTATGAAATTGGTCTTAAATTTAATTTCASTTGGCATTAAAAAGTCTTAAAAAGTCTTAAATTTAACTTGCTTTAAACTGTAGGAACCCTGTAAATACTCTAAGTCTAGTTCTATAGGCTACACAATCATGGGAAGACTGTTGACAGTTGTCCAAAAGACCACTATTGACACTTTGCACAAGGACAGCAAGACACAAAAGGTCATCGCTAAAGACACTCATTGCTCACAGAGCTCTGTGTCCACGCACATTAATAAAGAGGTGAAGAGAAGACCCTGGAGAGGACCATGAAACAAAACTTATTCAAAAATGTGGCGGAGATTCACAAAGAGTGGACTGCAGCTGGAGTCAGTGCTTCAGGAACCAGCAGGCAGACATGGGTTTCAGTGGTCACATTCTTTATGTCGAGCCAATCCTGAACAAGACACGGCATCAGAATCGTCTCACGTGAGATAAAAAGGACAACCTAAAGCAGAGATTCTTAACCCATGGGCYGCGGCCCAATTGTGGCCCGTGAGCGCCGCCTTGAGGGTCTCAAAAGAACAACAGTTTTTAACTTTGGGCCACAGAGGGCCGTGGGATTGATTTTAAATAAGGTGCAATACACTTTCTCACCACTAGTAGCAGTAGTGCACCACTCAGATGTTTAACAACTTTTTAATATGTAGAAGAAGAACCTTAGAAACCTGCTGAGAATGGAAACTTATTTTAAATGAAGCGTATTGCTATCACGCAGGAAAAAAAAAATCTGAGCGCTATCACGTTATAACGTGATA